TTCATAAACTTCTCTTAGTTTTTGCCTAGCCTAACAATCTCTAAGATTAAGGTTATTTTCTAGCAAGTTTTCTTTAAGTTCTTAGTCTAGTTGAAGTAAATCAACATTCCCTAGTAAATTGTTCATAGTTGGCTTAATTTTTGGTAAGACTAGTCTTTATGATATTTATCTTAGTTTATTGTTTGCTTCTACTAAATTTTTAATTGTTAAAAATTCAATTTGATTTAAATTCAAGTATCTTTGCAATTTCAACTAATTTCAGAATATTTTTACACTTATGTTGCATTTTTCAAATTTCTACAAAGTTTACATTTTCTACCTATAGTTTTCATTTGTCTAGTTATATTTTTTGCACTTTCTTTTATTAATTTTTAGCATCTGTCTTAAACCTTATTTATTTTCTAGCACTTAAATTTAATTTTTCTTGATACTAGTTTATCATAACCAAAGTTCTTGACATGCTTTCAAGGTAAATTTGAGCTCAATGTATAGGAACTAATCCCTTATTTTAGCTAATCATTTGATTCGAGCACATTTCATTTTAAATGACGTTTTTCCAATAGCCATTTTTTGCAGAAAAACCAAATAGAAGGAGAGGGTCATCGGTAAATCATTTCCTTATTTTTCTAACAAAAATAGATGGCATGCTTTCGTTCTTGTTTCTACCACGGAATGTGACTTATAAGATTTTAGGGGTAAAAGTGATATTCAAGAGTGATACTTAGGGTGTCACAATAACCACAACCAATGAAAATTTTTTTTTTTAATGGAATAACCTCTACCAATGTTAAAGGTATAATCATCACTCCATCACATTATATTTGTGTTTTTTCAACCATCCATATGGATTAATAAAAATGACAATTATTATTACAATTAATATTTTATTTTAACTTCGGCGAGAAACGATGCAGATAATGAAATAAATTATTACTCTGATGGATGAGGGAAAAAAAAAAAATGGCTCTGTTCCTTTTTTTTTTTTTTTAGGGGGGTAAAAGAACACAGAGAGTATGCCGTTGTACAGTATCTCAAGTTTCTAATGTTAAGTTTGCAGGCTTGCCAGAATGGCTCCATGTAGTTTATTATCCTCATTAAGGAGTATGTCCTCTAAACTCTCGTCTTTTGGCGCTTATACGTCTTGCATGTGATCCAGTTCTAGGTTTACACCTTAGTGTGGCTAAATTTATAAAATTCATCTAAAGTGGTTTAGAAACTTTTAAAATCCAATGGAATGTTGTTGACAATTGAAAAATTAAGCTATTTTGTTTATCCAGTGGTAGGTTGGTCAACTTAATAATTTTTCTTACATTACTGACGGTTCATTTCCCCATCTTGCTGTCGTTGCTGTGTGCCAACTCCCAATTTCTTGAGGGGAAGGATGGAAGGGAGAAGAGTAGCCTTAGTGGAGAGGTTAGGACCCGCCACAGGGGTGTTATATAAACAAGTAAAACTTGAAAAAGACTTCAAGATCGGTCTCAGCCAGCGTGAGAACCATTAGATTAGGAAACCCAATGGCACAATGCACAGATGACTCCTGACGCCTTTGTGAATTATCTGTTCATATTTGTAACTTTAAAATATACCATACATCTAAATGTCACATAAAATAGAAAAAAATGCACTCACAACATTGACAAAATGCATGATATCCAGTTTAATTTTATCCAGAAATGGCACAACCAAGACTACCACACCAGCTCAGATGGCACCACCACGTCCAGGCTAGGCATCTTGGCAGCCTCTTGTTGAGAGGCAGACACATCTTCCCCCATCAATTTTGTTGAATCCAGCAGAAACAACTATTTGACCCACATGCGGAACATCCAGCAGCAGAAGAGAGATTGATCACCATGCTTCATTTGGTTCAGTCTTTCCATCTGTATCTTTTTCTGGACCTTTATAGCAAGATATCCCCATTAACTGATGGTTAGTTAGTCCAGGAGACAAATGCTTCTCTTCTGTCGAACCAAGTTCAAAAGGTGGTAACAGATGTAGAAATCCTGACTTAGCCTTTAAGCCTTGTCAATTTTCTTTCTCTCACTGCATTTTGAAAGCGAGCCATCCTTCGTGGGCTGCAAACCTAGTGCATGAGCAAACATTCTCTTTGCAGCACCCAGGTGTTCTTCCTTTGAATAGACTCTTTCAACTCCATTTCGATTTCTTCCATGTCTGCTGAGATTACTGGTCTTATTTTCTGCTTCTCCTTGCTGTGCATTCTTATCAATAGATAATGATGCATCGGATCTGTCATTATTATTGCTCTTTGTCTTATCATATACACCTGTATTTTGGCCTGATAAGGAAACAGTCTCTTGATAAGCTTCAGATCTTGAATTGGAAGCAACTTTTCCCTTGTCATCAGGGTAGGTTTTATCCTGTGATTGTTGTACATGTTCAGCATGGTCACCAATGGTAGCATCTTCATTGTGCGAATTAACTTTTTGGCCCAACGCATGAGCAATCATCCGGCGAGCCACCACAGGAACAGTCCGTGGCTTCTGCTTGACAGGTTCACGAAACACTCCCACACCCTCAGCAAATATACGCTCACGAGCAGCTGAATAAGCTGCTTCCCTTTCCTTGAGACTAAGTTGAAGAGAAGGTAATGTTGTCTTTGACACTGAAATAGCAAAAGTGATTATTCAGATCTCAATATCTTGGCTACAAGACCCGGCAAGGCATGCATGCTACCTTATAAACAAATATAGAGAAAAGGGGTAGCCTACATATTTACATGTTGAAGCAAAATGAAATGATTAAAAAACTCTCCTAAAAAATGATTAAAAAACTATAATTCTGATGCACTTTTTGTAATATACAGAAACCTTGTTAACTTTCAGAAAGACAAATCTTGATAATGTTCTGAAAATAAACTAACTTGCCACACAGACGGTCGGAAAGATGACCTGCATTGAGGTTTGCTATGAGAGAGGAGGCAAGAAGGCAGCTATAGAACAACACTGTAAATTTGTAATAATCTGGTTTCAAATTTTATCATTATACAATATTTAAAACTATTTGCAAGTCAAATGACGCATGCAAGTGTTAAGAGGGTAAGACTTCTAACTTCTAAGCTATGGGTATTGACGTTACAAGCACAAAACATACAGCACCAATATTGGGTCCACTTTGGCTCAGTTTGATTAATATTTGTTTCTCTATAGGGTTCCCATTTTCTCACCCTGAGAGAATTTTGTAATTGCAATTTGAAGCTAAAAAGAAAAGAAATATTCTCAACTATATATGATGTTATTGAAAAAAAAATCCCAAAATAATTTTGCTTCAGTTTTAGTAATTGCAAGCTATAACCCCTATGGTACCTTAAACAGGAAGCAGAATATTTTACCTGTCAGAGCTTCTTCTCCTGGTTGAGCTTGTTCTCTAGCCAATAATTGGCGGGAAGCTGTCAGAACCTCAGGTTCATCATACTGCCACAAAATATCACTAACAAGGATGGAAGGTCTGCAATCCAAGTTGCCAGGTTACCGAAAGAAGAAAACTCATGAGTACCATCATAACAGATGTCTGTTATAAAAGATACACCAGAAGCTGATTAATTTGCCAGGTAGGGCACATACATTGATGTCTCTGGGCAGCGTTCCAAAACCAAATGCCGGTCATCTCCTTCACCAACAGATTGATGTGCAAATCTAGTGATCACATACAAATCAGTATTAATGAAAAACCTGAAAACGCTCTAAATCTCTAAATCAACTTCAAATAATTTTAATAAGAATAGATAGTGAGCTGATCTAGTAGCAATGGGGTGTTTAAAACCAAAATTACCCAAATATATCTGCAAGACGATGCACAAGAAGCCGATTGTATGAGTTCATTGGTTGCAACTCTAGGATTCCATCAGAACTAAAACGCAGCATAATTTTCATTACTATTCATGACAAAAGATATAATAAAAACTGAATAGGTAAAAAAATGGTATGAACAGAACTAAATAAACCCCATCTATGTTGTCAGTCCAGTTTCATCATTCATTCAGACAAGCAAAAATAAATTAAAAAAAGGGGGTCAATCTTTTTGAAATGGGTAGCTTAGTTACCTTGTGTCTTCCTGCAGGAAGTTAATGAAGGCCTCTTCTGTTGAGAGAACAAGATGCTTGGAAGATAGATTGTCCTTAACTAGAAAAGCCAATTCCTCAACCTGCATATAGATGACATTCAAAAATGTCACATTTGACCCAAAGAAAAGAAGGAACTTTAAAATTCAAACAGAAATGCATACACATACACAAATATACCCATGTGAGGATGTAAATGCAGATAATTTTACCAGAAAAAACTTGGGGTTTCATCTAAAAGAACTACACTTCCATTCCATTGAATTAAGTAGTTTGGCATTAAATTAACAACGTAATCTACCCTTCTGGAAGTCCAATTAGCATTCACAAATCACAATAGTCAACATAGAAAGCAATATAAACCCAATACAGATACTTCACCAATTACAACAAAAAGAAAGAAAAGGGGTTGAATTGAACAGCGAAAATTATACAGAAATGATCCAAATTCAGAGAATTAGGTTAGGGGGTATTTGCAGGAATCAGTAGAGAGAGAAATAAAAAAGGGAAGGAAAAGAAAATTGAAAGAGGAGGTGAAGAAGAGAGTAGACTAGCTAACCATGGCGAACTGGGTGACGCTCATGTTTGGACAAATCTCAAGAGACTTTGGGGTTAGGGCAAAGAGAGGCAGAGAGGTGTTTGAAGATCCGCAATTGTCTGATCATATTTTGATTATCTTTACACCTTCTAAAACACGCTATGGCCAAAAAATTAAAAATAGTAAAAGAAGTATGAACACGATTGCGGCAAAACCCTGATTTTGGCCCTTACTTTATGAAGTTTAAAGCCTCCTCACTTTATCAAATTTAAAATTCTTAACTCTTCATTTTATATTATAATATTTTTAATTTTTTATTTTATTAAATTTATAAATTTTAATTTTTTATCTTATATTATAATACTTTTAATTTTTTATTTATCAAAATTAAAGAAAATAATCTTTATTTTATAATATTTTATTAGTTATATTAGATAACTGTTAATTATATTAGTTGACTATTAATTAACTATTAGCTAAAAGAAGGTTTTTATCAACTAACAGAATTAATATAACTAATTTTGTTAACTAATTATTAGTTTACTATTAGTTGATAAAAATATATTTTTAACTAATAGAGTTAACAGTTAGTATAAAGTGAAAGATATTTTCTTTGATTTTAATAGGTTATAAATTAAAACTTACAAATCTAATAAAATGATGAGTTAAAAATATTATAATATAAGATAAAAAATTAAAACTTTCAAATTTAATAAGGTGAAAAAATCAAAGTATGTTTTTGCCTACGAATTGCTATGGTCGTTTGATTCTGATTGAGAGGAAACGGACGGAGTAAATGCACTTTTGAATAATTAAATTATAGGAGTAATATTTAAAAAGAGGGTGAAAATCAAGATGTGCGACTAATTGAAATGTTAAAGGATTTTATAAAATTATTTAAATATTTTTAATAAATTATATATATAATTTATTAAAAATATTTAAATAATTTTATAAAAATTCATAATATTTTAAATTTTAAAACATCTTAAATTTTTATTTTTATATTTAAAAATATTATAATTTAATTAATTGAAAAATAGTCATTCATTTCACCCCCTTTCAAAATTCATTTATTTCACCCCCTTTCATTGCCCCGATTTTCCCTTTTTTTTTTTTTCAACAAGACACTTATATTATAGTTACATATTACTATATTAAGAGCAATGGATTAACATTAGTTGTCAAATTCAAAGTTGGGATTAAGGTACCACATCAGTGAGCCCTTATTATTGGGCCATGAACGTTGGTGAGGCCCTATTTTCTTAAAAACAAACACACTATTGAATTGGTCAATGGATGAAAAAGAACCTATTTGATATAGTGATTGAGAGTAATAATTAGTAGTTTTGTTTAAATTATTAAGAATATGTGTTTGATAAATTTGTATATTTTAAAATTATTATACATTAGGTGTTTAATACAAATTTTTTTTATTTAGCGTCTTAAGATTAGTAAATAGTGATTAAAATGTAAATCACTAGTGGACCGATGAAACTACTTTAGATAACTTTCTATACTCACTGGTTAGTAGGTTAGAATTTTTTAATTTTATTGACATTTTTATCTATTTTAATTTTTTAATTTTTATCATAATTTTTAATTAGTACTTAGATAATCAATTTCAACTTTGGTTTTTTGTCTTTAATAATATTAAATGACTATTATATTTTTATTTTTTACATTAATTTATCATAAAAAATATATATTAACTTAATAAACAAAATTTACTAATTTGAAGAAATAATTAAAATTTTTATTTAAAAATAATATAATTTTTTCCTTATTAAAAATAGAAATGAATGTGTGATTATATTATTATAATTGATTTAATTTATTTATTTTCTTATTATTATTTTTATAAAATTAATAATTTTAATAATAAAATATATAAAAAGAAAACAATATATTTAATTATTTTTAAACATATCCTTATTAATCATTTAACGTTAAACAACAACAGCTAATTATTGTAAACCAAATATTTATATTAATTGAATTCGTTATCTACTATCTGTTACTCGTTTTCCACTATCCATTGTTAACTTTTCTCTATCCACTATTAGCTTTCTTCTAACCATCACTCATTATTCGCTATCATTATCTGCTATCCGTTACTCACTATCTATTATCCGTTAAATTTTAACCACTATATTAAACATGTTTAAAGTTTTTTTATCACTTATGTCACCCCCAAGTCATATTATCTATGCGTAAAAAATTAAGGTTTCCTTTGGAAATACATTTTAGTGTTTTAATTTTTTTGTTTTTATATATTATTATTATTATTTTAAAATATAAAAAATACTAATTAAAACAAATATTAAACATATTTTATATATTTTTATATGTTAAAAGAGCCACACAAAAAAACTTATAGTTATAATTATAGCCCAACACTTTTAAACCCTGTCTAATAATTCAAAAATACAAAAATATATTGTTTCAACAAATATTCAGACTAAAAACCCAATTTAGCCCTCAAGTCTCCTTTTTAAATATGTTACTGCTGTACTAGCTATTTTTACATGAATTTATTAAAAAGAAATAATTTTAAAATTTTTAAGCTCTTAACATTTTAAGATGTATGATTTATATGCATTTTTTCAGTTATTTTTTCACATCAAAGTAAAAAGAGGCATCATTAAGTAATCTTAATAACAATAATAACAAAAGTTTTTTTGTTCGTCCAAATAACAAAAATACCCTTAATAATGTTGATGAAAGAACAATTTTTTCCCGATTTGGACTGGCATTGTTTTGCAGTATATCACAGCCCATCAATAAACAAAGCCAAGACGGATCCAAGAATCAATATCACGGGCTGAGCCCAATAAGTATAGGCCGAGTGAGTTTGGCTTGCCAACTACAAACCTTTAGACAGTGCAAAACAAAGGGGGTTTCCTCAAAGTATATATAAAACACCGGCGAAACCCTAGAAATCAAAACCCTGCAGCCGTCGCGGCGGAGTGCTCTTCTTCTCCATTTCAACTGCAGGTTTCTGCGACAACCTCGTCAGGTACTCTCGACCGCTTTTTTTTTTTTTTTTTGACGTTTCCTTCTTCCCTGGTAGACCCAGAATTGGTAATGATAAACCAAACATCTTTCTTTAGATTTCCCTCTCTTTTCTAGCTATTTCGTTGATAAAACTATGCATTTGATCTTCTTTTCAAGTTATATCCATTCTATTTACTCTTTTTTTTTTTTTGCCTTTTGTTCGACTTTTCTATTTGGGTTTGAGAAAAAAAATTCTGCTTTTCGATTTTTCGTTTGAACGTTCACTGCTTCAGCACAATATTTTGAGTTTTCTTTAGTAAGTAGAGCTGGGTTTTGTTCGAATGTTTCTCAGATGGGGTTTTTTAATCTTTAAAATATAATCTTAATTCCATAAATAAGTAGTCAGATTTAAGGTACACCCATCGTCTAGGGTTCTGACGGGTGGGATAGTGATTTGGCTCGGCAGCGGTTGGGAGTGCTGATTTATTTTATAAACAGATTTTAATTGTGCTTTATGTTAGTTTAGCAATGGTTTAGATAATGCAGGATGTTTAAATAACAATGTATTTGTATTTGCAGGTGAGGTAAGTCATGGTTAAGCACAATAATGTCGTGCCTCATTCCCACTTCAGGAAACACTGGCAGAACTATGTGAAAACATGGTTCAATCAGCCTGCCAGGAAAGCAAGAAGAAGAATTGGTAGATACCTCTCTTTCTTCTTTTTTTTTTTTTGTCTTTGTGTGTGGACATTTAGGTCTTCATGTATTTGTGTATGTTTTGGTGCTATTGACTAATTGTGATGTCATTTCATGTTTATAGCAAGGCAAAAGAAGGCTGTGAAGATTTTCCCTCGTCCTACTTCTGGCCCTCTGCGTCCTATTGTACATGGCCAGACTTTGAAGTATAACATGAAACTGAGAGCTGGTCGTGGGTTCACACTTGAAGAACTTAAGGTAGGTTGTTTTTTGTCTGTTGCTATTCTTCTAGGATTATCCACTGAACATCAGAATGTTTTGAGGGAGAAGCTTAGGCTCTGTCGTGTGTCTCTTCTCTAGTATAATGCATTGACAGTTTCTTTTCCTTATCAGGCTGCAGGTATCTCAAAGAAACTTGCTCCCACCATTGGCATAGCTGTTGATCACCGTCGTAAGAATCGATCTCTAGAGTGTCTTCAAGCCAATGTTCAGAGACTTAAGACATACAAGGCCAAATTGGTCGTGTTCCCAAGGCGTGCTCGCAAATTCAAGGTAATTCTATATGGCTAATACATATGATTAGTTGTTAGTCTTTTATTCCATCCCAATTTTGATTCCTTTACATGGTGCTTTATCCCAAATTGAATTTCTAAATTTCTTGTTACATCAGGCTGGTGATTCTGCTCCTGAGGAACTTGCATCTGCAACCCAAGTTCAAGGACCATACATGCCTATTGTTCGTGAGAAGCCTTCTGTGGAGCTTGTGAAGGTTACTGGTGAGATGAAGTCATTCAAGGCATATAACAAGCTCCGTGTGGAGAGGATGAATGAACGCCACCTTGGAGCCAGATTGAAGAAGGCTGCTGAGGCTGAGAAGGAAGAGAAGAAGTAAACTGCTTTTACAGGGTTGTGTCCTGCATTTTGATCATAACAGTTATCGAGGTCTTAGTTTTGCCTTAGTACTTCCAAATGAATTGGGCTTTGTTCCATGAACGTGTTTTTGATATTGTTCTGTTATCTGTTTTTTTGTCAAGAGTAGTTTAGTTTCTTGCGCTGGTGTAGCAACTTTGCGTTGGCAATGAAAATCTTGGTGTTTGGCATTACTTCAATAGGTGGTGTTCTTATCGTAATTCTGGCAATATCAGTATGGAAGGATTAAGGCGTAAACGTAGAAAGAAATTGTACTGAGAACAAGTTCGGTTTCAAGATTTAAAATATTTGTGTCGGTTTTCAAAGATCATGTTGATGTTTGCACTTCATTGATGCTGGATGAAAAGACAAATGGGAAGGAAAACGAGTATGAGGACATCAACCAATTCCTTTAGGTTGAATCCTAAATTTGTCAGAAAACAGGTTTTATGTCTCAAATTTTATGGAGACTGATATTTGATCAAGTTGTTGTTGGAGCATCCCTATTATCTTATCCTTCTCTGTAATGATCTCCCTCAGTTTTGTGTTCTCATTACGCAGTGCCTCAAATTGGCATCCTATTTCTTGTATCTGTGCTTCAATGGCTTCATCACTCAACTCAAATGCACTTTCCACCACCCTCACTACCCGCCACAAGCTCATAGCAACAACCAAACCTCCTCCTCTGCTTTCCAGAAATACTTCTAAAAGCAATGCTATAACAACAACTGCACCATCTACAGCATAGACTGGCCGCCTGAAGAAAGCAGTGCCTAATCCCAGTACCAGGGCCACCGTCTTGGCACAAAGCAGGCTTAAGATGGAAATTCCTGTCCAATGGTACCAAACCCTTTCTGTGTTGTTTGCTGTCGTCCCAGGCGTACACGAATGTAGAGATGAAGATAGTTGGAGAACTGTGAGGGTGAGGTCAAGAAGAAGCAGAGATATTGCAGCAATGTGGATTGGTGTTGATTCTAAGAAATTGGCCAAATTTGTTCTCCACGATGCTCTGCTACAGGAGTCTTGAACAAGGAGGTTGGGATTGAAGAAGTGGTGCCATTTTTGCCTCCTATTGCAGCTTCTTATGAGATTTTGGATCGATATTTCAACAGATTGGATAATGGGGGATTGGGGATGAGGGCACATTATGACATGGTTAGTCGAGGAAGATGCTGCAGACGGTTTTTATTCAAGTATTTGGAACTTGGAAGGTAAGTGAAATGCAAGTATTGAGAGGATATATATGCTTAGGGGTTACTCGTCCTTAACTGAAAAGGCTTCAAGGATTATCTAGGTGGAAGGCGCCCTTATTAAGGCAGCCTTACATGGTGTCCTTAAATGGTTTTCTAAAGGTTGTGCTACACTTTTGAGGCAAGCAATGTTAGGGGTAGTGTTATTGCTATGCCTTTTAGGTTATGACACTAAATATGCATTTTTACTCCACTAATGAGTAAATGAAAAAATTTAGTATGGTATAGTTTTAAAAAACTCACTAATTAGAGATGTAAAAGTTTGAAGTGTGATTGTTTACACCATAATTAGCAATTTTTGAGATAGTGCCACGTGTTCATAAGGAGATTGAATGGCCATAAAATTTTCATAATTAATTAGAAAATAATTGATTATAATTTGATACAGTGAGTTTATTTTATATCGTCATGGGTTGGTACAAGTTATTTTTATTGGGCTGAAGCCTTGGCATTCTGTTAATTAAGCCCATGGAATCTAACTTTATTTTTAAAAGTGGATTTAGAGGAGTAGTGTTTCGTTGGACTAAAAGAATAATCACGTGACTCAAAAAACAGCGCAAAAAAGAGCGCAACCCAAGTACATTTTTAGACCCTAGCAATTAAAGACTCATGGGTTGGTGTTAGTATATTTTATTTGGAATCAAACTTTCAACTTCTTTTTCTTTGAGAAAGTTGCAGGCTTGAGGATTGATTCAAAATGAGGATTTGACTGGGTCAATTCAGAAGAGTATGCTTAATTTTTAGGAGGTTCTAACTGATAAGATCTGGGTGGTTTCTAGCTATGAATTTCTGTTTGGCTAACTACAGATTGCATGATGGAGAGGATTTTGAGACTCTTGGGATTGTTTTTCACCGTGCATGGAGGAGATGATTCAGATCTAATTTTTGCTGAGCAGATATAGTTGTGGAGGCTTTTAAATACAAGTTTTCAATACATTTTTTATTTTCAACAGAACTACCCTTTAACACAAATCAATTACTTTTCAAAACTCTTTATTCTTCATAAACTTCTCTTAGTTTTTGCCTAGCCTAACAATCTCTAAGATCAAGGTTATTTTCCAGCAAGTTTTCTTTAAGTTCTTAGTCTAGTTGAAGTAAATCAACATTCCCTAGTAAATTGTTCATAGTTGGCTTAATTTTTGGTAAGACTAGTCTTTATGATATTTATCTTAGTTTGTTATTTGCTTCTACTAGAGTTTTAATTGTTAAAAATTCAATTTGATTTAAATTCAAGTATCTCTGCAATTTCAATTAATTTCAGAATATTTTACACTTATGTTGCATTTTTCAAATTTCTACAAAGTTTACATTTTCTACCTATAGTTAATTCCATTTGTCTAGTTATATTTTTTGCACTTTCTTTTATTAATTTCTAACACCTGTCTTAAACCCTATTTATTTTCTAGCACTTAAATTTAATTTTTCTTGATACTAGTTTATCATAACCAAAGTTCTTGACATGCTTCCAAGGTAAATTTGAGCTCAATGTATAGGAACTAATCCCTTATTTTAGCTAATCATTTGATTCGAGCACATTTCATTTTAAATGACGTTTTTCCAATAGCCATTTTTTGCAGAAAAACCAAATAGAAGGAGAGGGTCATCGGTAAATCATTTCCTTATTTTTCTAGCAAAAATAGATGGCATGCCTTCGTTCTTATTTCTACCATGAAATGTGAATTATAAGATTTTAGGGGTAAAAGTGATATTCAAGAGTGATACTTAGGGTGTCACAATAACCACAACCAATGAAAATTTTTTTTTTTAATGGAATAACCTCTACCAATGTTAAAGGTATAATCATCACTCCATCACATTATATTTGTGTTTTTTCAACCATCCATATGGATTAATAAAAATGACAATTATTATTACAATTAATATTTTATTTTAACTTTTAAAGAAAAATAAAAATAAAAATGTTTTAGTATTTAAAATGTTAGAGCCATATGTGAAAATTTTAAAATATTTTTAATGATTTTTCTTAATATTTTTAATGAATTTTCTTAATATTTTGATTCATTACGACTATTTAAGTCTTTTCGTTAACAATTTAAATATTTTAATAATTAAGATATGTTAATTTTTCTCAATGTCTTACCTTTTATTATTGTAAAGAATAGTAAAAACGAAAATATAGTTTAATAACAAGGTTAAAATGAAAA